CCCAACAAGTGGTATCAAAGCACTGGGCTTAATTCGATTTTGTGCAATGTTCGGACTTTAGAGGCTTATGTGAATTATGTGCGTACGAGTGCAGCCATATTTGTGGAATATTATTGAATAACTTGGCTTTTCAGGATAATGTGTTTCCACTGTTATGGCCTTGAATGTGTGCTTGTTTAATTATTGCACGTTTTAAAAGCCTCGGACATGTCAAGGAATTTTAGGTTGTGAATGTTTGTAATAATTATTCGCCCGATTTGGACACCAGATAGATTTAATTATTTTCATAAACGAACATGTAAACCCATCCATGGGTCTAGGATCGAAAAATATAGTGTTGTAAATTCTATTTTGATCGTGTTGATGGCAAATGAAATCAGACGACCATGGTGACCAGAGATCAACGAGACCGATGGACCTCGACGACCTGATCGGTCGCAGACCACCACGAGATCATGACCGGCTGCACGAGTATGCATGGAACACAGAGGCTCGGCTGCCAGGTGTCCAAAGGGCGGGAATCATGGTGGCCGTAGGACGATGATCAGTCGTGGTGACCAGGCGAGGTGATCGGATGAGCCCGAGCGTGACGGCGCAAGGCGTTGTGAACAGGTGCCACGAGGTGGCAGAACCCGACGATCACTGCACAAGGTGTTGCAGGCAGACGCTTGCGAGCTTGCCGGCGACTACTCGACGGTGACCCGGCTGGACTCAACAATGACAACTCAGACCGGCGACACTCGACAGGCGGTACGGTAATGGCACAAGGTGGACGAGAAGCAACCTACATTTTTCCAGCAACCAGTTGACTTGGACAAGAATTCTGCTGGAGAGTGAATTCTAGTCTGATAAAGAAACTTCATTTTCAATAGGACATGGGCTGAATAAGGTTCATAATTCAGTTAGAGTTTTATTAATGGCAAATAGTGGGATTTGTTTCCGTATTATATTACTGTTATTAATTGTTATGCATGTTTAATTAATTATTGCTTTATGGCATGTGATTAATTACAGAATTGCATAAGTAAAAATCCTCAATTAAAGATTGGGTAAATTGCGCCAAACCCTCATGTATTATACGAAATTTGCGTCTTATCCCCTTATATTTTAAAAAATGCGTCATACCCCCTTGTATTATACTTTTGATTGCGCGTTATCCCCTCTCCTCGTATAATACAAGGGGGTATGACGCATTTTTTTGGGATAACGCGCAATCAAAAGTACAATACAAGGGGGTATGACGCATTTTTTAAAATACAGGGGGATAAGACGCAGATTTCGTATAATACAGGGGGGTTTGGCGCAATTTACCCATTAAAGATTATACTAAGTTTGAGAAGGATATTTAAAATTAAAGCTAACTAGTATTCGACCCTGTGCATTTGGACAGATGTAAATAAAGTATTGTGAAGTATTGTGAGTTATCTGTATGCATATAATGATTAATTATTTTTCTTTCACTTTTTTGCATGCCAACATTTACAAATAGAAAAGTTGGAATATTTACTTATTTTTTATTAAAAAAATTGTCTTTATCTGGTTGGATGTAATTTATTTTGGTATGTCTTTTTTTTGAATTATTTATCATTTATTTAGGAATTTTTAATACGTTTTCAATTTTTTTAAAAAAATTAAATATAACCACAATAATAACATCTAATCACATTGTACGATCAAAACATTATATGGTCAACTGTCACTAATAAAAAGTTTAAAATAATTTTTATAATTTTGAAGTGGTTAGTATTGATTAAATAATAATTAAATAAAAGATTAAATACATAAAAAAGTAACGGTTTTTGGAGGGAAAAGTATTAAATTGCCACATAGGTAAAATTAATTAGGTTTTATTAAATGCTATTGGCTAGTAATTATATATATATATAGATTTTAAAAGTTCTAAGGCCTCCATTTCAGTTTGTTGGTAAATCAGTTAATCAAAGTATGGGCTTCCCCGCGGATGACAGTACTTAGATTAATTGTTACCAAAATGAACTTTCAATTGGACTATTATAGGAATTTTTATGAGAGTGTACGGGTCTCGCCAGGACGTACAATCAAATATGATGAACTTAGGGTCGAGAAATGTGTTTCACTTAGAATTCAATAAATTTTATAAACTCCCCATGGGTCCTTGATTCTTATTGCATGGCCAAAAGGAGACCGACTATTAATTTCGTTTGTCATGAATTGGGTTTTGTCTTATGGAAATTAATGGGTTCGTGAAAAACCCTTCTTTTGCGAATGTTGAGTGCGTAAGGCGACCCACTTAGCATACGTCACTCTAGGTGTTTTGAGATGTCGGTGGATTTAAGTTAATGTTTTTTTGAGGATACCAACATTAACAGTTAAATTAAAAATTTTTAATTAGTAAAACTAGTTCGTTGTTTTCTAGTTTATTCAAACATGCCTTTCAATCTGTTGTCCTTTATTCTTAAAGATAATATGCAGTTCGAAATTGATTAGAAATAGAACTTTAATATTGTCCTAAGTTGCTGGGAAGTACGAGCTGTAGGGCGAGTGTATCTGGATTAAGCAAAAGTACACAAGAAGTCGAACTAACCTATCCTTAAAACAATAAAGGTAAATCTTATTCACTCGGTAGTCGAAATATTTCTAGCAAATGTAATCGACTATGTGATAAGAAGATCATCATCTAAAATGGGAAATGCCACGAAAGTGGCAGTTATTGCAGTGGGAGTTTTTTGTATATAGAATTATTTAGTTTTGAGTAATTATCTTTGCGTACCAAGGTTCAGAAAGAATCCAGTTTTAGTTTCTAAATTGTGTATGGATATAATGTATTGTTTGATAGCAAGTGTGCTATCTAGAAAATAAAACATCTATTCATTTGGTACGTGGTTAGATTAGTTGACTCAAGTAACCAAAAGGTATCACAGTGTGTAACGCCCCGTTATTTTTAATAGAAGAATACCGAATTATTTTTCTAAAAATCAGAGTTAATTATCAAAAAATCAATTTAAAGGTTTATTTAAACGGACGCTACTCAAACATTCACATATCAACAGTTGAGTGCACACTTAACCAAATGGGGAATCAACCATCCCGAGAAACTATATCATGCCAACATTTACCATGCCACAATGAAATATCATCAACAGAATATCCAAATTCCCATAGCATGCATAATAATCCCAATAACAAAGCATGATTCAATCTCCCGAAAACAATAATAAGCATGTATGACAACGAGATAGATAATTAATAAGTAAGCGGAAGCAGGTAAACAATTCAATAACAGATAAATGACCCCACCTCGCTCGTCTTTTGCCATGACCACCATCGCAGCCTAAAAAGAGAGATAATAGTAGGGGTGACCAAACACTTGCTCACCGTGGGAATACCATGCAGTATAATCAATATAAAGTCTTAATATCATAATCGCAGCATGAACACAAATCGCCTAGTCTACCCCCTAACATAGACCTAGGCTCATGTGATCACACCTAACCAACCAATACAACAAAGACAAGAGCAAGCTGTCTATACAACAAAGACAGGAGCAAACTGTCAATACAACAAAGACAGGAGCAAACCATCGATACACCATAGCAGAGTCGGCTCTCCAAATGTTAGAGTTAGGTGTGGTTCCAATAACCGAGATAACTATATCATAGTGTAATGCCCCGTTTGTTTACGAAATATTTGGGATTATTTTATTATTACTATTACTATTATTATTGTTAACAATAAATGTCTAAATGTTATTGAATAAATATTATTGTGTGCTATAT